AGAACCAAAAAAAAAAAAAAAAAAAAAAAAAGAGGAAAACAGTCAAGATGAATAAAGGAGAAATTTTGTCATAATTGCTGCACAGCAAATTCACAGAAAGACGCATTTGCTAGTTCCTCTCCTTCTCTGATCCAACATTATCCACTTTTCTCATGCTTACATCAGCAACTGAACACATAACCTCTTAGTATACCATTTGCAATCCATTATTTAAGGAGCTTATGCATAATCCATCACTACGGTTACCTTCTTGCTTACATTACTTCTGCACATGCAAACAGTGCTAAGCAAGGAGTTACATTAAGGGACAATGAGAGGAAAACATTAGTCATCTTAAGCCATGAGAAAGGACTACATATATCTGTTGACTGACCATCTGGGAGTGATCTTGGGTTGCAAAGAAAAGCATTATTTGAAGGCAATATTGCATAGTCAGAAGTGTGTATAGCCAGGCAGACTTCGGTTCATTTGGACTTTGGGGAAAATATTTAGCCTCCATAAATCTCAATTTCCTCTTCTTTGAAATTTTTTTTTCATCCTCTCCTGGCTGGGATGTTGTGAGAATTCAATGTATGTAAATCTGACCTAATTCATCCATAGTAGCTACTCAATAACTGGTAACAGCAATAGCAACAGTGACCATAAGAACAACAGTCCCTTAGAAATTCTAACCACAAAAACACAAGTCCAGGGCTTGCTTTTAAAGTAGACTAAACTAGAGAAGAACAAATGGCCTAATGGCTACGTCGCTGGACTCCCATGTAGTTAACAACGGTTCGAATCCCAGATCCAGTGGCTTAAACTCCCACCAGGTACGTGTGCATGTCTGTCCAAGATCCCAAGAGGAGAGTGGAGGAGAAGGGATTGTAGCATAGCCATCCTCTCGGGGGAGGGGGGGGTGATTTCTTGCTTTCTGTCTCTCTGTCTCTGTCTTTCTGATGAGTGCATGCACCCTATAGCAAAAACCTCTCCAAACAATTATAAATTTAAAAATTAAAGAAAAGAAAAAGCAATTACAGAAGCCGGATTAAGCAGGTTAATAATTTTTTAAGAATTATTTATTTAATTTATTATTATTAATACTATTATTATTATTTAATTTGCTACGGGACACGTACACTCACCAGAGAGAAAGAGGAAATGAGAAAGCAAACCACCAGGTCCAGGACTTGAACCATGGTCAGCCATGTGGGTTTCCAGTGCCTTAGCCACCACACCACCTGCTGGTCCCAGCAGGTTAATTATTTCTAAGGGCACTTTAATGGTCCCTATGGCTACCAGGCAGGGGGGGTCTGGTGATTGGTGATTACATTGCTAAGGAATGTCTAAGCAAAAAGGTTTTGGGCTAGTTAGCAAAGACAGTAAAACTGTTAATCACTCTACTTACTCTGGGCAAAAGAAGGACAAAAGTATAACATAAAGTTCAAAGACGGAGGTGCTTCTGCTTCAACCCTAGAAAGACCTCCACTCTCTGAAGGCAGAGTACAGTGGTGGCAGACACCCTCTGATTTTTAGATATCTATGTACATCTTTCATCCTACACATACCTCACTGCCTTCTCTTTTTATCCTTTTTTTTTTTTTGAGAAGTTTTTGCTATAAGGTACGTGCGCTCACCAGAAAGACAGAGACAGAGAGACAGAAAATGAGAAATCACCCCCCAGGAGGGATGGCCACACCACAATCTCCTCCTCCATTCTCCTCTCAGGATCTTGGGCACACATGCACACGCGCCTGGCGTGAGTGTAAGCCACCAGGTTCGGGAATCGAACTACATGGGAGTCCAGCAACATAGCTATTACGCCAACTGCTGGTCCCCTTCACTGCCTTCTCTTAACAACACAAATCCAGTTCAGTTGCAGCTGCTAGCTCAGGTTGAGCATCATCAGGATCCACTGACCTTGAAGCCAAAGGACAAGGTATAAGCCCCACCCCTGCTGCCAACACATAGTAGTGATTAGGGACAGGATTCTCACAAAAAAGGGTAGACCTAGGCTGGTTGTGACCTGACTGCTAAGGGAGCCAAATCTTACATGGCCAACTGCATGGTCCTGCAGTTTGAGAAATGCTGGGTGCATGTGTGTGCATGTTCCAAATCACAACAGGATGGAGAAATGGAGAAGGGACTGCTGCAGCCTGAGGATGCCCCATGGGGAGTGTTTTCTCCTTCTCTCTCTCTGGTGAGTGCATGTGCCTGCTGGCAAATGTGAAAAAGAGAGAGAGAAAAAGGAAGGAAGGAGGGGACGGAAGGAGGGAGGGAGGGGAAGGAACAGATGCATTATTTGTATTATTCTGACAGGGCATTGCTATGTTGCAACTCTCCTGCCCTAGCCCAAACGAGCTAGGACCATAGGCACCACTGACCATAGGCCTATTTAGGGTGGGTAGAAACCTAGGGGCCTCTGCTACTGCCCAGTGGTACCCTCCTGTTTGCTCCAAGGCTGGGACTGTTTTTTTCAGGATCAGATTGAAGTAATGCATTTTTGGCAGCAATATCACAAAAGGTGCTGCCTTCTAGGCTTCTCCACTGGAAAGTTAGTGTTTTCTTTTATAAATATAAAACGCTTTGGTTTGGGGAATTGCCTTCCCACCCCTGACCTAGGCTGTATCCCTGGCTTCTCCTCTGGGCCTCAGGCTGTGCCTGGGTACTCTGGGGGTCCCACCTCCCAACTACCGATTAATGCTGGCTCGGGGACATACAGGCATTTTTTACTTTTAATACTTATCTGAATTTCTTTTGTAATTGGGATTGTTTTATATACCCACATATATGAGAACATTTCCTTTCAAAGCACGTTTTCTAACTGCTTTTTACTGCTTTCTCTTTTTCTGTCACCCTTGCTTTGTATTATTTATCTAAAATGCTTACTTAGCTGTCTTACTAACCATAAAAATGTGTAGCTCGTTTAACTTCTAAGTAAATAATTATACTGTCATTCTGAATTTTAACATTTTTCTCGGAAAAAATATGGTATAGCAATATTTATGCAAATTTGCATCAGACAAAAATAAAGCTAGACAACAAATAGTAACAGACTAAAACCACGGGGAAATTAAATACCGGCGAGTCCGTACTGACGTAAACCACAGCGTCCCCACCCGCCCGGCGCCTTCTCGCGTCAGCCCCGCGACCGGGGGTGAGAGGTCGGCTCCGGGCAGGGCGGGGCGGGCACGCGCACATCCGGGCCCCGCCGTGCGCGCATGCGCACACCTCCTAAACATGGCTGGCTGCCGCTCGCCTTGAGTCCCGCTGCGCCTCTCGGCCGTCAGTGCCTCAGTTTCCTCCGGAGCGTCACATGGGACTGGGGTCCGTCGAGTCCCGTGAGGGAGCAGGGGGTGGCGCGGCTGCGGGAGCGGGGGCGCGTCGTGAGCGCGCGTCGGGCCCGGCGGGGCTGGGTCAGTTCGGGATGCGGCGGTGCCTGCGGGAGTGCGCGGTCATCGGCGGGGGTTGGGGGGCGCC